GACAATGAAGATGAGGATAACAGTCGAATAATGTAAATAATGCCGGATATCTCATCTCAGAGATATAACATAGACATAAAGGCCGGAGTGTACAACTAATGAAACGTTGAATATGGCAATGAAGATGAGGATAACAGTCCGAATAATGTAAATAATGCAAGTAATCATAATACCTCATCTCAGAGATATAGACAGATATATAGAGAGACATAGTCATAAAGGCCGGAGCGTACAACGGCCGAATCGTTGTGAATATGGCAATGAAGATGAGGATAACAGTCCGAATAATGTAAATAATGCAAGTAATCATAATACCTCATCTCAGAGATATAGACAGATATATAGAGAGACATAGACATAAAGGCCGGAGTGTACAACGGCCGAAACGTTGTGAATATGGCAATGAAGATGAGGATAACAGTCCGAATAATGTAAATAATGCAAGTAATCATAATACCTCATCTCAGAGATATAGACAGATATATAGAGAGACATAGACATAAAGGCCGGAGTGTACAACGGCCGAAACGTTGTGAATATGGCAATGAAGATGAGGATAACAGTCCGAATAATGTAAATAATGCAAGTAATCATAATACCTCATCTCAGAGATATAGACAGATATATAGAGACATAGACATAAAGGCCGGAGTGTACAACGGCCGAAACGTTGTGAATATGGCAATGAAGATGAGGATAACAGTCCGAATAATGTAAATAATGCAAGTAATCATAATACCTCATCTCAGAGATATAGACAGATATATAGAGAGACATAGACATAAAAAGCCGGAGTGTACAACGGCCGAAACGTTGTGAATATGGCAATGAAGATGAGGATAACAGTCCGAATAATGTAAATAATGCAAGTAATCATAATACCTCATCTCAGAGATATAGACAGATATATAGAGAGACATAGACATAAAATAATGGCCCTCATCTCAGAGTGTACAACGGCTGAAACGTTGTGAATATGGCAATGAAGATGAGGATAACAGTCCGAATAATGTAAATAATGCAAGTAATCATAATACCTCATCTCAGAGATATAGACAGATATATAGAGAGACATAGACATAAAGGCCGGAGTGTACAACGGCTGAAACGTTGTAAATATGGCAATGAAGATGAGGATAACAGTCCGAATAATGTAAATAATGCAAGTAATCATAATACCTCATCTCAGAGATATAGACAGATATATAGAGAGACATAGACATAAAGGCCGGAGTGTACAACGGCCGAAACGTTGTGAATATGGCAATGAAGATGAGGATAACAGTCCGAATAATGTAAATAATGCAAGTAATCATAATAATTAAATAATGCCTCATCTCAGAGATATAGACAGATATATAGAGAGACATAGACATAAAGGCCGGAGTACAACGGCCGAAACGTTGTGAATATATGGCAATGAAGATGAGGATAACAGTCCGAATAATGTAAATAATGCAAGTAATCATAATACCTCATCTCAGAGATATGACAGATATATAGAGACATAGACATAAAGGCCGGAGTGTACAACGGCCGAAACGTTGTGAATATGGCAATGAAGATGAGGATAACAGTCCGAATAATGTAAATAATGCAAGTAATCATAATACCTCATCTCAGAGATATAGACAGATATATAGAGACATAGACATAAAGGCCGGAGGTACAACGGCCGAAACGTTGTGAATATGGCAATGAAGATGAGGATAACAGTCCGAATAATGTAAATAATGCAAGTAATCATAATACCTCATCTTAAAGATATAGACAGATATATAGAGAGATATAGACATAAAGGCCGGAGCGTACAACGACCGAAACGTTGTAAATATGGCAATGAAGATGAGGATAACAGTCCGAATAATGTACATAATGCAAGTAATCATAATACTTCATCTCAGAGATCTAGACAGATATATAGAGAGACATAGACATAAAGGCCGGAGTGTACAACGGCCGAAACGTTGTGAATATGGCAATGAAGACGAGGATAACAGTCCGAATAATGTAAATAATGCAAGTAATCATAATACCTCATCTCAGAGATATAGACAGATATATAGAGAGACATAGACATAAGGCCGGAGTGTACAACGGCCAGAAACGTTGTGAAAATGGCCAGTCCGAATAATAACTGTAAATAATGCAAGTAATCAACCTCATCTCAGAGATATAGACAGATATATAGAGAGACATAGACATAAAGGCCGGTGTAAACGGCCGAAACGTTATGAATATGGCAATGAAGATGAGAGGATAACAGTCCGAATAATGTAAATAATGCAAGTAATCATAATACCTCATCTCAGAGATATAGACAGATATATAGAGAGACATAGACATAAAGGCCGGAGGTACAACGGCCGAAACGTTGTAAATATGGCAATGAAGATGAGGATAACAGTCCGAATAATGTAAATAATGGTAATCATAATACCTCATCTCAGAATATAGACAGATATATAGAGAGACATAGACATAAAGGCCGGAGTACAACGAATATGGCAATGAAGATGAGGATAACAGTCCGAATAATGTAAATAATGCAAGTAATCATAATACCTCATCTCAGAGATATAGACAGATATATAGAGAGACATAGACATAAAGGCCGGAGTGTACAACGGCCGAAACGTTGTGAATATGGCAATGAAGATGAGGATAACAGTCCGAATAATGTAAATAATGCAAGTAATCATAATACCTCATCTCAGAGATATAGACAGATATATAGAGAGACATAGACATAAAGGCCGGTGTACAACGGCCGAAACGTTGTGAATATGGCAATGAAGATGAGGATAACTGTCCGAATAATGTAAATAATGCAAGTAATCATAATACCTCATCTCAGAGATATAGACAGATATATAGAGAGACATAGACATAAAGGCCGGAGTGTACAACGGCCGAAACGTTGTGAATATGGCAATGAAGATGAGGATAACAGTCCGAATAATGTAAATAATGCAAGTAATCATAATACCTCATCTCAGAGATATAGACAGATATATAGAGAGACATAGACATAAAGGCCGGAGGTACAACGGCCGAAACGTTGAATATGGCAATGAAGATGAGGATAACAGTCCGAATAATGTAAATAATGCAAGTAATCATAATACCAGATCATCTCAGAGATATAGACAGATATATAGAGAGACATAGACATAAAGGCAGGAGAGTACAACATAAAGGCCGAAACGTTGTGAATATGGCAATGAAGATGAGGATAACAGTCCGAATAATGTAAATAATGAAGAATCATAATACCTCATCTCAGAGATATAGACAGAGGAGATATATATAATGAGAGATAGACAGATATATAGAGACATAGACATAAACGGCCGAAATGTTGTGAATATGGCAAATGAAGATGAGGATAACAGTCCGAATAATGTAAATAATGCAAGTAATCATAATACCTCATCTCAGAGATATAGACAGATATATAGAGAGACATAGACATAAAGCCCGGAGCGTACAACGGCTGAAACGTTGTAAATATGGCAATGAAGATGAGGATAACAGTCCGAATAATGTAAATAATGCAAGTAATCATAATACCTCACCTCAGAGATATAGACAAATGCGAAAACATTGATAAATTTGTTACGTTTTGATAATTTATTGAAACTTCAGCAGATAATGAAGAAAAATGTCAAATTTATTTTTAAGGTTTCCAAACCTTTTGTTTAATTAATCATTCTGTCTAATTTTTTGGTATTTTTCAACTGAAGAAATATATTTTCGAGCTATGAAGTGTCATATAGGAAAAAGGAGCTAGCTGCCGATACCGAGGTTCGAACGTGACACTCTGGTCTTATGAATATGTCTTCTGCCAGGTGTATAAATAGCGGTGTCAGGCGAATGACGGTAGTTGACTAATGGTTGATGACTGTTGCTCACAAGTGGATAACGTTTCTCGAATATTCAGCTTGGTAAGTGGAAATAAATAAATATACAGTAGAATCCCTGACAACTGAACTAAGAAGGCCTTCCGGATATGAGGAATTGGTTACAAAGTCCGGATATGAGAGGTTTTATTTAGATTAAAATAAAAGAACCAAAATCAAGTTTAATATTTATTTTCAATGTTTTATAGTAAACAAAATAAACTAATGGTGAGTGAAATATAACGGAATTGATTTTAAGGAAAAAAGAAATAAATTATGACCTCTGAACCAAGGCAGGTTGTGACACAAAGTTTAATGGGCGGGGTGGTGGCATTTGGGAGAATGATAAAAAAAAAGAAGAAGAATGGGAAAGGAATGGAAGAATGAAGTTGGAAGAAGAAGAAGAAGAAGAAGAAGAAGAAGAAGAAGAAGAATGGGAAATGAATGAAAGAATGAAGTTGGAAGAAGAAGAATTATGGGAAATGAATGAAAGAATGAAGAAGAAAAAGAAGAAGAAGAAAGTAGAAGAAGTGGGAATTGAACGAATGTCTGAAGAAGAAAAAGAAATAAGCGGGAAAAGTATGCAAGTTGGAAGAAGAACAAGAAGAAGGAAAGGAATGAAAGAATGAAGTTGGAAGAATAATAAGAAGAAGAATGGAAAGGAAGGAATGAAAGAATGAAATTGGAATAAAAAGAAGTACAAGAACAACAAGAAGAAAACCAAGAAGAAGTAGGAAATGAATGAAGGAATGAAGTAAGAAGAAGAAGAAGATGAATGAAAAGTTTGTTCGAAAAATAAAAGTTAGGAATGAGACACCCAACTCCAGCCACTAAAAAAAAAAAAAGTAAAACAAAGCAGAATGGTGGGAAAATATGGAAAACTGGAAAAGGCGACGGGATAAAAAGAAAAGCTGAAAAATAATTGAGCGGAAAAGAATGGGAAAAATGTGAAGAGGCCCCAAAAAATGTAAAGAAAATCGGTCGGGAGAAAAGTGAGCTTCAGCCTGGAGTTGTTTCAGGTAGATTCGGGCGATTAAGCGTTTGGACAAGTTGGCGCCATGCGGATACGAAACAACCTGTTTCATAAGATAAAAAGCCATGACATATTACGATTCGTTTCACACGGCTTTGTCGACATTGGCTTATCTATCCATCTTTTTATCTATCTACTAGTTTGTTTTCTATCTATATATTTATTTTTTTATCTACCTATCTGTCTCTATTTTTCTATCTATCAGTCTTTTAACAATGCATGTATATATATGTATCTATTTATTAAAGACATTTTTATGTTTAACGTTGTTATTTATAGATACAAGTATTTAAGCAAATGCTCTGTTTATGATAAACAGTATTAAATAACATTTATCGGCCTGAATATCTGAGAAATTTTCATAGAAAATATTCGTTCTTTTGACAGAATTCGAACCTGCATCCTATACGGAACCCTCATTTACGCTGACGGGGCCACAAAGAACCTTTATAAGCAGTAAAATCGAACCTTGTCTGCTTAAAAGGTTCTTTGTGGCCCAGAGGTAAGGCACGTCAGCGTAAATGAGGGTTCCGTATAGGATGCAGGTTCGAATCCTGTCAAAGAACGAATATTTTCTTTGAAAATTTTTCGGACATTCAGGCCGGTAAATGTTAATTAATACTGTTTATCATAAACAGAGCATTTGCTTAAGTACTTGTATCTATAAATAACAACGTTAAACATAAAAATGTCTTTAATAAATAAATTGTCGGACCTTGTCCATTTCTTAATATATGTATCTATCTAGATACATAAATGATATCTAGTTCGCGAGCTATCTCATTCTGATCATTAACTATCTATCAATCTATCTATATCATCCAGTTCATTATCTATCTTTTTATCTATCAGTCTTTTAAATATCTATCTATCTATCTATCTCACTCAATCTGTTCATATCTATTTCAGTTTGATTATATCTATCTCAGTCTGTTCATATATATTTATTTCAGTCTATTCATATCTATCTATCTATCTATCTATCTGAGCCCGTTCCTTTCTGTCTAGCTATCTATCTGAGCTTGTCAGTATCTATCTATCTATCTATCTCTCTATCTATCTATCTATCTCAGTTTGCTCATATCTATTTATGTGTTCATATATATATATATATATATATATATATATATATATATGGGGGTGTGATGGATAATTGTCGTCTAAATTTACGCAAAATGAAAATAACCCTCATTTTAATAGATATTTTACTTGAAATACTAAAGACTAAATTTATTTAATAAAATCGTTATTAGCTTCGGCAACGGCCTCCATACGACTTCGGAATCTCCTGCATCTCTTCTGGACGGTCTCCTTGTTTTTTTGTTTTTTTTTTTGTTCAAGCCTGTCATAATCATTACCTTCAGTTAATTTTTGGTGTTACAAGAAGCTTTGTTAGTCTCTCTCCCCACTGCTCCCCCTACATAATAACCAAGGGGATTGCAGTCCGGGGAGTTATGTAACGGGTGGTGTAGTCGTAGAAATTGGATGACAGCCATAACTGGTTTCTCATGATCGTATGGCATGGTGCAGAGTCCTGTTGCCAAACATTGCGTCTTCCAGCAGTCACCCTCTTGACCCAGTACAGCATTACTTCCAAGACACCTGATGTAGGCCAGTGTGTTGAGTCTGTGTTTCTGTGGGAAGATGAATGGAGGTATAACGTCGCCACTACTAGTGATTACTCTAAACCACTTCGTAATCACCATTAGACTCATCCAACTCTTTCTGAATCCTAAGAGCTGTACTCAGATTGACACCCAAATACTCTGAAGTAGCCAGGTATTGAACTCACGACACATTGGCTCCAGTCACTGGATCAAACCAACGCATTTATTCACTTGACACATGGCCCAGTGAATAAAACCGTTGATTGGATCCAGTGATTTGACCCAAAGAGTTGTGAGTTCTGTATATTGAAGTAGGCAACAAAAACCTGGAGAGCTGAAATAAAGGGAGATAACTGTGTTGTGGATTCCGAGATGAAATCCGGTACCAATAAATAACAAACGCCAGGAATGAATATATGAAAATAATGTATTAACGTAATAATACAAACTGGTAAAGCAGGTTAGTAGTTCCAGGAATACGGGTTAGTAGCAAAATATATATACAGTCTTTGGTATTGAAGTATCGCTGTATGACTTCTTACTGAGTCTACGTGCTCGCTCACTGTGACTCCTACAACGCTGTTACCTCACCCCTCACTCTTCCGGTTACCTACAACCTTTTACTCTGTCACTATGGACTCGACTCGACGATCTTGCTCTCTCGGGTCTTCACGTAGCCGTAGTATATGTATATACTGGTTGAGTCCATTTGTGCAAAAAGGGGTGGACCCTTCAACAAACTGAAACATCCGGAAGAGGCATAGCCCGTGGAACTAGAACAATCTACCCCGGTGGAGGAAATAAAGGGCTCAATTCGAAATTCCAATCACCCGAAGAAGGCCGGAGCGTACAACGACCGAAATGCCGTCAATAGAGCAATAAAAATGGATACAACAGTTCAAACAATATAAACAGTGTAAATAGTTACAATACTCATCTCAGAAATATAGACAGATCATGAAGAAATCCAGGAGCGTACAACGGCCGAAACGTCGTAAATATGGCACTGAAGATGAGTACAACAGTCCGTACGATGTAAATAGTGTAAAGAGTTACAATATCTCATCTCAGAAAGATAAACTGATCATGAAGAAGTCCGGAAATTGAATATAAAACAAAAATATAAAAACCCAAATCATTAACTGATAAACACAATGTTCGTAAATACCCACGGGGATCGAAACTTTCATAAGGATGCCAAACTCGTCAATGAAATATCTTAACCCTCTGTCGGATACAACTGCTTTCCCGGATCAAGGATTAACTTTGAGTGAATGAAGCCTGTAGGTCTTAGTGAGGACCCTACTTCTTCGAACAACGTGGACTGGCGCTGTACAATCACAAATAAAGAACTGTACCAAATAACAGAAACCACTTGAAGAATTTCACCAGCAGCACACACGGATAAAAACATGATTGGATCCAATGACTTGATCCAAAGAGTTGAGAGTTCCATACCTGGCTATGAACAAAAACTTAGAGATTTCAGTTAAAGAGAGATAACGAAGACATTCGGAAGAGGCATGGAATGTGGAACTAGGACAATCTACCCCCCGCTGCACGAAATAAAGGGTTCAGTTAGAAATTCCAATCACCTGAAGAATGCCGGAGCGTACAACGGCCGAAACGTCGTGAATATGACAATAATGATGAGGACAACAGTCCGAACAATGTAAATAGTGTAAATAGTTACAATACTTCAACTCAGAAATATAGACAGATCCTGAAGAAGGCCGGAGCGTACAACGGCCGAAACGTCGTGAATATGGTAATAAGGATGACAACAGTCCAAACAATGTAAATTATTTGAATGGAATTCTTTTATTCAGATCAAGTTTTCGGATTCCCTGGGGCGATAAAAATGGCGACCTCCACAGCTAAGACCCGCCATACGTCTGACACTGAATCATGTTGCATTAGTGAGGAAGAAGTTCCATTAAGACAGCTTCTTCCCAAGATCTGCTGCTTTTAGGAACGGGCTCCCCAGATGATGATTCCCCGAAATATATAATGTTTAACCGTTATCTATCCTACATATTGTTATGGGATCTTACCCATAATAATAATAATAATAATAATGGACTATTCCATACTTAATAAATACTGCGCCTCAGGAGAAGGCAAGGAGTCAATCGCTCACTTTCTGAGCGACTGTTCGGTTAAACTCTCTTCCTACGGGCGGGAGGAACCCGAAGGAGGCTACGCCGAAGGGCGGAGTCTCCTTCGGGGAGGTAAAACCGGCCCTGAACCCATTTATACGGGTTCAAAGGAACTATTTTTTGGCCGGGCCTAATGGCTCGGGAATGCCCACGTTAAAAAGGCCTTGTGCCACATGACACCCTCGTAGGGGGGGGTGACTGAATATTGTCAATCGCTCACTTTCTGAGCGACTGTTCGGTTAAACTCTCTTCCATGGCGGGAGGAGAACCCGAAGGAGGCTACGCCGAAGGGCGGAGTCTCCTTCGGGAGGTAAAATCGGCCCAGAACCCGTTTATACGGGTTCAAATGGGCTATTTTTTGCCGAGCCTAATGGCTCGGGAATGCCCACGTTAAAAAAGGCCTTGTGCCAAACACCCTCGTGGGGGACTGAATATTGTCAATCGCTCATTTCTGAGCGACTGTTCGGTTAAACTCTCTTTCCTACAAAGGAACCCGAAGGAGGCTACGCCGAAGGGCGGAGTCTCCTTCGGGAGGTAAAATTCGGCCCAGAACCCGTTTATACGGGTTCAAATGGGGAAATGGCTCCAAATTCCCACGTTAAAAAGGCCTTGTGCCACATGACACCCTCGTGGGGGGTGATTGAATATTGTCAATCGCTCACTTTCTGAGCGACTGTTCGGTTAAACTCTCTTCCTACGGGCGGGAGGAACCCGAAGGAGGCTACGCCGAAGGGTGGAGTCTCCTTCGGGGAGGTAAAACCGGCCCAGAACCCGTTTATACGGGTTCAAATGGGTTATTTTTTTGCCGAGCCTGATGGCTCCGGGAGTTCCCACGTTAAAAAGGCCTTGTGCCACATGACACCCTCGTGGGGGGGTGACTGAATATTGTCAATCGCTCACTTTCTGAGCGACTGTTCGGTTAAACTCTCTTCCTACGGGCGGGAGGAACCCGAAGGAGGCTACGCCGAAGGGTGGAGTCTCCTTCGGGGAGGTAAAACCGGCCCTGAATCCGTTTATACGGGTTCAAATGGGCTATTTTTTGGCCGGGCCTAATGGCTCGGGAATGCCCACGTTAAAAAGGCCTTTGTGCCACATGACACCCCCGTGGGGGGTGACTGAATATTGTCAATCGCTCACTTTCTGAGCGACTGTTCGGTTAAACTCTCTTCCTACGGGCGGGAGGAACCCGAAGGAGGCTACGCCGAAGGGCGGAGTCTCCTTCGGGAGGTAAACTCGGCCCAGAACCCGTTTATACGTGTTCAAATGGGCTATTTTTTTGGCCGAGCCTAATGGCTCGGGAATTCCCACGTTAAAAAGGCCTTGTGCCACATGACACCCTCGTGGGGTGACTGAATATTGTCAATCGCTCACTTTCTGAGCGACTGTTCGGTTCAACTCTCTGTCTACGGACGGAGAGGAATCCGAAGGAGGCTACACCGAAGGGCGGAGTCTCCTTCGGTGAGGTAAAACCGGCCCTGAACCCGTTTATACGGGTTCAATGGGCATATTTTTGGCCAAGCCCACGGGCTCGGAGAACCCACGTTAAAAGGCCTTGTGCCACATGACCCCCTCGTGGGGGGGGTGACTGAATATCGTCAGTAGTTCAAGTCGAGTCAGAGGCTGTCCGAAACAGAGTCGCGTTCAGACAATTACTGCAAGACATTGGAATAGTGATACTGGTCGAGACTACATTGTTCTCTCTACTAAACCTGATTGTTCATACTAACACTTCTACTTCTCTGTATATATTCCTGTTTGTAATATATCTGTGTCATTCCATACCTGTGTTCGAGTTCTTCTTTATTGGTTCTACTTTGGACTATCACCGTGGTACAAGGACCCTTGACCATAACACATATCCTCATAGTATGCACCTTTCCCCTCCTCCTTGCATGTCCTTACATTAATTTTATTCACGGACACTTACCTTGATTGGCTTTTGGGCTTTTCACTTACGGCCGGTGCGTACTACACCCAAACTGTTACAGTTTTTTTGTGTATATATAATGTAACTAGTGAGTTAGCTCAAATGACTTGACTCACTTTATAGTCTACCAATAGAAGGTTAACCAATCAGAAGACGTAGAACATTCAATCCGTCGTGTATAAAGGCGGCCATTTTTGTTCACTCTACCCGAATGTCCAGTTTCAGCTTGTCAGGCGAAGAGAACCAGAAGGACGAACTACGCTCTGCTACTTTTACCAAAATATCCACTGCTAACCTGAACAACGCTTTCCTACTGTCTTCGAAAAATTCACTGCTAACCTCTGGATTCTATACTCGAAGACGACCGTCATTATGAATAACATAAACCAACAACCTGAGCGGATAGGGGCTTCAGTCATTGCTTTGTGACTCGTTATCTTATCAACATTTGATTTTTAAAAATCAATTTTCTTCGGGGCATTAGTACTTATTATCTCCTCCTTCTCTCCCTCTCAATGTCACTTTCTCTGTGTATCTCATTCTATCTATCTATCTATCTATCTATCTATCCCAGTCTGTTCATTCTCTCTCTCTCTCTCTCTCTCTTTCTGTATCTCATTCTCTCATTATATCTATCTATCTATCTATCTATCTATCTATCTATCTATCTATCCCAGTCTGTTTATTATCTCCCTATCACTCTCTCTCTCTGTATCTCATTCTCTCACTATATCTATCTATCTATCTATCTATCTATCTATCTATCTATCTATCTATCTATCTCAGTTTGTTCATTCTCTCTCTCTGTGTATCTCATTCTATCTATCTATCTATCTATCTATCTATCTATCTATCTATCTATCTATCTATCCCAGTCTGTTCATTCTCTCTCTCTCTCTCTCTGTGTATCTATCTATCTATCTATCTATCTATCTATCTATCTATCTCAGTCTGTTCATTATCTCCCCCATCTCTCTCTCTCTCTCTCTGTATCTTATTCTCATTCTATCTATCTATCTATCTATCTATCTATCTATCTATCTATCTATCTATCTATCTCTGTCTTTTCATTTATATCTAGCTAGCTAGCTTAGGTATCTATATCATATCCTACCATTTCTTAAAGAATCAAATTGTATTCGAAAATATAACTTCAACAAAACTACAACATAAATCACACATCAATCAATATATCAACGCCTCTAGGAATTATCCCTCTACCTTGAGATGCTCTCATGCCTTATAACGGATGAAAATTCAGCATTAAAATAAAAAAGTGCGTTCATTGTGCCCAAGATCGTTATAAATTGCGGATGTTTTTTTCTGTTGTCTCTAAAACAAATTTGGAAGGTTATCTTCCAGCTAAAAATAAAATAAATAAGCAAGACAAAAACGTCTACAGACATCCAAATTTATTCCAGGGCATGACGGCAAACGAAATATGGCAGAAAAACCTCTTATTGGGATATTATCAAATCACATCTTAGTTGCTGTTGTTCCCAGGCCCACCCTGACCCTATGTGGTAGCACCTGTTAGGGTCCAAGTTATGGGTATATAGTAAACATCCAAGGAAAAAACACGAAAATATAAAAATAATTTTATGTTTTGTAAAAATCCCAGCAATATATTTTTGTATAATTCTTAAATCAAACTGTGTTCCAAAATATAACTTCAACAAAAACTACACATATCACGACCTCCACAAACATGTATATGCATAAAAGCTGAGTATCATCTACCATGTATTCAATTGTGAAAGCAGAATAACATATATCCTATTTTTATTACTTCAAAGCTCCCAAGAAACTTACATTTGTGCATTAAATGACCCATAAGGATGTTAATATTGTTGACCATCTTCACCATAGTCTATGAATATAAAATACAGCGCAGTACGTAATCTATTCAATGAAACAACGTTAAAGATTAACACTAACGAGTCAGACACTCTACTGGATCTGACTATATCGCCAATACCACCAGCAGCTTTTCCGTAATTCTTCAGTCTTCGATATCAAAGGCTGACAGTGAATATTCTGGAAAAAACATGGCCGTCTTTATACACGTCGCATTGAATATTTTGAATTTTCTGATTGGTTAACCCTTCTATTGGTGAACTATAAGATGAGTCAGCTCATTTTGACTTGCTCACTAGTACACCATGGTACCCAAAAACTCCAACAAATATGCCGTTAAACAAACAAATCATTTATTCTCTGATAACATTAAATTACTGATTAATATTTTGCCTGTAATTAATAGCATCAATAACTCCTTACTTTATAAGAAATGGCCATTTTTTTTTATTTCGTTTCCTCGTGATCTTTCTTAGGTATTTGTTTCGATTCAGGGAAGACCATATCAAGACAATATGGCTCCGATTCTACACTTGGTGGTTAAAAGGGATTTTCTTTGTAATTTCTTCTCTTTGTGATCAGTATGTCTTGCTCCAGTAATTAAGACGGCTCCGATTCAATAGGGACCGGCTAATTACCCATAATTCCCTTTTGTCTGCACCTACCCCACATTAGATTTCTTGCAACGATAACTACAACGGGTTTAATAAACAACAGAGAGATAAAGATGGTATAGTTTCATGAATAAAAATATACAAATAGATGGAGATGATGGGAAAAATAAAGAAATACGTTCAAAAAGAGAAAGAAAGAAAGAAAAAAAGAAAGAAAAAAGAAAGAAAGAAAACAAAGAAATATTAGAAAAAGAAAGAAAGAAAGAAAAAAGAAAGAAAAAAAGAAAGAAAGAAGGAAAACAAAGAAATATTAAAGAAAGAAAGAAAGAAAGAAAGACGTAAAACGAAGAAATTTTAGAAAAAGAAGGAATAAATAAAAGAAAGAAGGAAAGAAAGAAAAATAGTTTGGGGATAATGAAAGGGTTGCAGAAAGGGTGTGGAGAGATGAAGGTCAAAGACAGCGTGGAGAGAAAGAGTGACAGTAGAAGGGTGTGGAGAGAAAGTAAGACAGAGGAAGTGGGGAGAAACCCAGAGAGAAATAGTGCATGGAGGGAAAGAGAGGCAAAAAGAGGATGTGGTGAGAAAGAAAGGCAGAAAGAGGAAGTGGGGAGAAACAGATAGAGAAAGAGGATGTGGAGGGAAAGAGAGCCAGAAAGAGGGTGTGGAGGAAAACAGAGACAGAAAGATGTAGAGGGAAAGAGAGACACAATTATGACGTCACAATTACAACTATCGTCGTAATTGTGACGTCATAACTGCTGTTGATTACGTTTTTTCTTAATAGGATGAAAACTTCTTCACCAATGGAACCCAATCACTGCAACAGCGATGGAAGATGTGTGTGGACCATAAAGCGGACTATATTGAAAAATAAACCTCATTTGATACCATTCCATTTAAATTTCCTAAGATATGCCCCATAGAACGAATAATGCACTTCAGTTGGAGGTTTCCAGAAAAGAATGACCTTTTAAATGTTTATTCCCACGACTGTAACAGGATAAAATCTGAAATAAGTATAGGAATCTATTTAAGAGCACTAAAAATCTGCAGCCCCTAATACTTACCTGAAGAAGAATATAAAATATAATTTCAAAAACCTCCAGTATTCTTATTATTGCCTTTCCTAAGAAATATGGAAAATTCCATGGACTGGGCGAATCAGCAACAAGAAAGTCTTTATAAAAATGACAACAAACAGAACACTTCTACAAGAATCAGGAAAAAACAGCTGAAATTCTATGGACACATAATTAGAAAGGACGGCTTGGAAAAGTTAAGTATCACGGGGCATAATGAGAGTTAGAGAAATATGGAAAGTCAGCGAGTCACATGATGAGATGGTGTGAATAGAATAATTTTCCAAGCGTAGCTTGGAGGTGGCACAAAGCCGAAAGTAAGGGGCACCCAGTGAGAATCGAACTCACTACTCAGTCGTAATTATTCTAGCGAGACAAGCTTGCTAACCATTACACCACCTTGAGGTGCCCTAATAGTGATTTTCTGAGCACAGCTTAGATGTGGCAGAAAGCCAAAAGTATGGGGCACCGAGTGAGGATTGAACTCGCTACTTAGTCGTAATTGATCTAGCAAGACAAGCTTTCTAACCATTTCACCACGTCGGGGTTTACCAAGATGGCGTGAATAGATTGAGGAACAGTGATGCGGGAGAATTACCAAAGGTTTAAAAATGCTAAGAGACACAATGGGCAGGAACTAGTGGAGAGCTATAATCGTCTTGAAGGGCATTACTATTGAGAAAAAGTAACAGTTTCTGTGCTAACAACAGGAAATCGATCCGCACATCAAATGATTTAAGAATTTTATTTTGTTTTAATTATGCGTATATAATATTCGTATTTTAATATATCGTTGACTTAATGATTATTTTCCAATTTTATTGTACGTTCTTATACCGACTGTTTTTTCTTTGTGTGTTTATTTATTTATTTTTTGTTTGTTTTCTTTTTCTTGATTCTGATTAAATTACTGCCAAATGTGAAGAATTCGGTAATCATTCCTTAATTCTTAGAAATTAATCGTCAGAAAATGACGGTTAATTGCGACTGAAGATAACGAATAAGTTTTATTCTGGCTGTAAAAAGAGACATTTGAGATGTCGAGAGAAGATTGAATTCTTAATACTGCGTCATGAGCGATAGTAAAACAATCGATGCAACCATTTTATATACATAATACCGCTCGTCCTAGTTATATGCGCTTTCAATCTTAACCCCTGACAAACCGTTTTTTCTAACCTTTCAATAAAACAATTAGAAATGGAATTTAAGATTCAATCTATTAATGCCAGTCTGTCTATTCTAAATTCCTGACCACTGACAATACTTTCTGCCTTAGTTTAAATGAGTTTTAGTTGGAAAATTTCATTAGCAATTTACATAATACATATAATAGCCCTATTCTATCAGTAATGCTTGCATTCATTCCTGACCACTGACAATCCCTTTCTTCCTGATTTCCAATGGATTCCTATAGTAAAATCATTAGCAATGTATTTACATTATACATCTAATAGCCCTATTCTATCAGTGATGCTTATATTCATTCCTGACCACTGACAATCCCCTTCATCGTGATTTTCAATGCATCTCTATAGTAAAATCATTGGCAATGCATTTCCATTATATATATAATAGCCCGATTCTATCAGTAATATTTGCATTCATTCCTGACAGCTGAAAATGCCTTTCATGAGTTTTTAATTCTTATCTATCATAAAATCATCAGTTTTTTTGTGTTTTTAAGGCAATTCACCCCAAGCAAGGCGGGAGTTCCACTAGCACACAAGGGGTTACAGAGGATGGAGAACGCGAGGCGTGTTTGAGGAAAGGATACAATGAAGGACAGGGAACAAACTGTTAGATGTCGATTGACATTACACTTGAATATTTGAAGATTGTAGTCATCGGGGAAGCAAGTAAGGGGAAGGGAGTTCCGCAGACGGGAAGTGCGAGAGAAGAAGAAGCTGTTTGAGTAGAAGAGACGGTTACGTTAATCAGATTTGACAGTGAAAGGGTGGGGCCGATATGGCAGCCTGGTAGCCCGCTTAAATTCATGCAGTCTGCGAACCAGCGAGGGTAGCTCGTCGGAATAGTTGCCGTGAAAATACTTGTAGAAGAGACAGAGGGAAGCCACAGCACGTCTGTGGGAAAGTGATTGTAGACTAGATGCCAGATCAGGACCTATCATCTTGCATATTCGTCTCTGGATTTTGTCGAGGACAGTGACACGTACATCGGGAGCACCAGACCATATATATGATAGTAATGCATTTACATTACTCATATGCCGTATTCTATCATTAAATGTTTTCAATGACTACTGACAATCCCTTTTTTGCATATATTCAGTGCATTCACTGAATGTTATGGGGTCCACCCCTTTTTGATACAAGTGGACTCGACCAGAGTGTTACTTGGACTGCTGCCATTAAATACCCAGAGTCAGTCAGAATATACTGAGAGAGTGAGAGTGAGAGTGAGCAGAGATTGTGATTGAGTTGGAGGTAGAGTAATAGTGTGAGGTAACCGCTTGTAGAAGTCACAGTTACAAGCACGTAGACTCTAAGGAAGTCCTACTTCGAGACTGTATATATATATATATATATATATATATATATATATATATATATATATATATTATTATTATTATTATTATTGCTACTAACCGCATTTCTGGATTTACTAACCGTATTACCTATTGTATTATTGTGTAAATACATTTAATTTCTTATCTTTAATTCTTAAGTTTGTCATTCACTGGAGACAGAATTTCATCTCGGAATCCACAACACTAAAATCGGTAGCAATTCATTTTACATATAAAATCCTTTTTATCAAAACCCAGGTTGTGTGTGTGTCTGTTCGTTTATATATTGGATTGGATTTCCTTCATTTTTCAACCGATTTCAACAAAACTTCACAGGACTACGTAAAATTACCTTGCGGTGGTTCTGACAGCACCAAAAATTGGTAAAACACAATTGTTTTTGCACGATATCAATTTGAAAACACGATTAAGAGGCATCGCGAGAATGAAAGGGGGACAGCTCATATCGAGTTATACTTATTATAAAAACCCAGGTTGTGTGTGTGTGTGTGTGTGTGTGTGTGTGTGTGTGTGTGATCGTTTATATATGGGATCGGATTTCCTACATTTTTCAACCGATTTCAACAAAACTTCACTTTTATTTTTGGCAGGTAGTGTTTCTTATTGTTTTGCACACTTTTTTCTTTATTTTTACAGAAATGTTTTAAAAATGTTTTACAGAATGTTTTAAAAATTCCATTTACAAGACAATTGTTTATAATAAAATTCTATTCAATCGGTAGACTCATAACGATTGAAAACAATGTTTTTGTTTGAATTTGGGTTTGACCAATTCGTAAAAAAAAAAAAGAAAACTAATTAAGACATGCGTGTCCGTCAACCTTAAACAATAATCTTTGTCAATTTTATTTTTTAGTCTTTATGATGGTTGATACTTGATCTATCTCTTACTGTTACATTCCCGGGCAACGCCGGGCTCTACTGCTTGTCAGTAATACTTATATTAATTTCTGACAACTGGCAACAACTTTCTTTTTTATACTCAATGCGTTTCTACAGGAAAATTATTAGCAATGCATTTACATTTCATTTGCATGAGATTTTCTTTTCCTCGCTGTATCCTTCGCCTTTTTGACTGCAGATGTTTCTTTTTGCGAGGCAGACTGCTGCCGTATGCGATGGGCAAAAATAAACTACAGAACTCAAATTTGAACCACTGCATTTAAGTATTGCATTAATATTTAAACTTACCATTTAAAAGTTCAACGATAATTTTTCTGCCGCCACTTAATTTAAAGATAATTTGATGTGCGTAGGTCCTTAATTTTCGTACAAACAACTGTTTTTATCTCATGGCAATTAATTTCAGTTATTCCCCAAATTATTTCCAAGTTGTGAAAATTGTTATTGTAAATGTTCGTCGCAAAAAATCACGTAAAAATAGCCGAAATCAATAGCAGTAATGAAAACTTTGGAATAACTAATTTATGTAAGAAATTTTGTTTAGGAAGGGTTTCCCGGTACTCTCTTTCTCTCTCTCACTGGCCTCTGTATCTCCAGTTGCCTTGATCTATCCACTATCCTTCTCCTCATCACTCCTATCTGACCTTGCTCCAAATTTTCTGTAACCCCTTGCGTCCTAGTGGCTTTCCGCTTTGCTTGGGGTGAAACGTTTAAATATATATATATATATATATATATATATATATATATATATATATATATATATATATATATATATATATATGTATATATATATGTATGAGTACTCGTCTGTAAAACCTTAGGTGTTTTGGCTTGTAAATGAACAAACCAATACCCAATGAAAAAATAAGGGACAAAAAAAAGAAAGAACTAAGAACATGCAATTGAAGCGAAAACAATCGTCCAGAATCCAAGCTCAGAGTCCAAAGAAAAAAAACTACAACACGAGTAAGCAAAAATCACTAAAAGTAAGTACTCAATACACTAAATACCCTGACGATCCGCCTAGGTGAAACCTAGGTAGGTTTGCCTGGCTCTTTAGGTTCATATATATATATATATATATATATATATATATATATATATATATATATAATATATATATATAAAATTGTGCTTTTAGATAGCAATCCGTCTTTTATACAAATATCCAAATAATCTGTGGATCCGAGCGCTTTCGGTTTACCTGAAGATGTAGATTTTTATATATATATAAGTATCTATCGAGATGGGATGTTTTGAACACGTTCAGCACGTTCTGTCAGTGTTTGCGCCGTCTCGTGTCCAGAAAAGACTTCATTTAATAAAAAGCCTAATGCCAGAAATTAAAATTAAATTTCAAGCGTTATCAACTGCTTTCTTCATTCCTTTTTATTGTTCTCTCTACTTAATAATGCTTTTCTTTTTCTCATATTCTTTCACACTCAGTAACCCCTTCCGTCTTAGTGGCTTTATTGCCTTTTTTGCAGAGAAACGATTAATATTTAAATGCAATGCCAATCGTTATCTTCTTTCTTCTTAATTCCTCTTCTTTTATTGTTCTCTCTCCTTAATAATGTTTTTATTTTTCTCATATTCTTTCACAATATTTAAAATTTAAAAACATACGCATAAAAAGGAGACTCAACTTAAATTTAAAATTTTATTCTACCTGAACTAAGGGGAACAACAACAACAACAACAACAACAATAATAATAATAATAATAATAATAATAATAATAATAATAATAATAATAATTATAATAAAATGTGGCACATGAGAACATCAACAATCCTTGTTGTAGTTGGAGCCCTCAGTTAGATTGGAAAAGATTCCAGTAGACTAATTGAAGTGATTTCTGGAAGCCCATGCCTTAAAGAAATACAAAAACTGTTCTGACGAGTACAACCCACACCTTACTAAGGACTTTATCTATGTAAAATATGTTTTTTTTTTATTTTTTATTTTTGTCCGTGGAAAATTTCCTGATCCCATTTCTAACCTTAGGTCTTTGGGCGGGACCCGGAATGAAATGTGTAGTACCCACCAGAAATCAAAGGAAATAATAATAATAATAATAATAATAATAATAATAATAATAATAATAATAATAATGTGGCATATGGGAACATCAACAATCCCTGTTGTAGTTGGAGCCCTAGGACTGGTTGGAAAAGATTGCAGTAGACTAATTGAAGGGATTCCTGGAAGTCCATGCCTCAAGGATATACAAAATTTAGTAGTCCTTGAGTTGCATGACAAGGGAAGTAATTATTATTTTGGTTAATCTGTCAGAATTCCCACTTGGCTTTATATGATACCCTGTATTCAGGTGAGTAGTCTGTGATAGTTTTTATCTATGATAGCTCACTTCATCCCTTTGAGGTTGAGGTGGATGCTTGGGAATACCAGGTACTATAAGCTTAGACATGCAGATAGTGTAATGGATAATGGCTCAGGATGGGGCAAGTTTCAATTCCTGTTGGGTTCATTACGCACAAATACCCTTTGAATTTGGGAAGGTATGAATCTATACACCCCCCCAAAAAAATAGCAAGACTTATATTACAAGATCA